TGTCATTAGCACCTCTAGTAATATATTTACTGAGAAACATGGTGACGTGTTCAATACTTATTTTAGCCGCTGTATAATTCCTGCTTGTTTTTCACAGTCCTGTGGTGTGACAAGGATTAAACAGAATAAACTGACCGTTTACACTGAATCAGATTAAAGGTCTAGTACTCATGAACAGAATGCATAATGCCTTCCCTCCCTGATTAAGATCATTTTAAAAACTGACAGATGTTTTGGTAAAAACAGGTACAGCAGCGCATGAATTTCAGTGAAACCTCATGTAACGTTGTGAGATGTCGCACTTTGTTTTTATTGTGAGGAACACAGCTGAAAACTTTTGCAATACAGTAAAATCAGAGACCAATCTTTAGSAATACCTAAATGAAAATGCAAAATCCAAGATCCCCWCCTCCWTGTGAAATATTTAGGGGTGGCAGCCCGGGTGGCCACAGTTACCACCCTGGTCACCCCTCTGGCTCCACCCTTGCACAGCATCTCATACAATTTGCAGTTCTCTGCTGCAACGTCAAAATTAAGCTTAATGTCCGTAGAAATGACAGCGTTATAGCATCTTCCATATCAGCTGMCTACGGCAGCCATCTTGAATTTGATTGACTCCGAAAATCAGAGCTACATTCAATATTTTCTTTTTGCAAGTTGTGAAGTGGTTTAGGGACTATTTTGCTCAGTCAGACACACAAACATGCACAAAAATGAGTATTTATTTTTTTCATTTCTTTCTTTCATAAAAACAAAATCTATAATAATAAAAAAAGTAAATCATGCATGAAAGGGTGCAGAGTGAAGAACTATTTCTTTCATATCTGCCCCTTATTTAAAAAAAATCAACAAACATACGAACACAAGCTTGAAAGAGCTCTAATTAAAAAAGAAATGAGTAAAAAGATAACAGTTAAGTCTTTACTAAACTCATTTTACTTTCAAACATTTCAACAGGTAAAACATGCATGACCCCTTTTGAACCGGGGTTGGATCCCCCAGGTTTGGACTGACAGCAACCAGTTGTAGTTTCTATACATGTTGAATTATATTTCACTAAATGTTTTTAATCTTTGTTGTTCACAACCAAAAAAAAAAAAAAACACAGTTTAACAATTATCACAGGGATTAAAACTGGGTTAGTAACTGACTTCTTAGTTTGATCAGAAACAGTCAGCGCCTCACCTTTGTCCATCCATTGATGGGGTGCAGGTGTACTCTGGGGGGTAGTACGGAGGGGGAGGGATGGGGGGGATGAACTCATCGAAGTCCAGTGTTTGATGGAGGATGGTTCCGTGGGGAGTCATGCACTCCGCGTTTAAGGCTCGAGCTCTGTGRGGCATGAACTGCAACCAAACAGGAAAGGAAACTTTTTCAGGTCTTTGTTACACATTTACTCTTTTTAGAGGGGAAAACAAGCAAATCAGAACTTTTTATAGCTTATTGCTTCTGTTATTTTAAGCCGTTCTAATTATAATCAGATCAGAGATGATCATAAAACAATGTAAAATCCACGACCCGCCTGTTATTTAAAGGAGATGCATTTTTCAGTTACAGCTAAATCCAGAACTTGTAATTTTTTTCAGTTTCTCATTTTCTGCCTCTTGACATTGTTGTCAAAATAAACAACTACAGGCAGCAATAATATTTCAGTTTGTTTAAGCGTCCATAAAACTTGCAGTGTGAAATCTATCAGAGGTGTTAGTTACAGAGTCATCCTGACAACCGCACTCTGCTTTTGTGTTGTGGCGACACAAAATAGTTGTATTTTTTTTTATTTATTTGTTTTTTCGCTTCAATCACGCTTACCATCTGCAGCACATCGGTCGACACCATCTGCATACAGCACATGGCGGTGGCGAGAGCGCACACGATGGTGGAGATGACGTTCAGAGCGCAGACGCTGAACAGCAGCTCCTGCAGGAGACGAGACGGAGGCTGTTAGAGGAGCAGGAAACCGAGGAGGAGGAGGGGGAGGGAAATGACCCAAGGAGGACGAGAAGAACAGCATTAATGTAAACAGATGTTTATTGAAGCCGTCCTTTATTTTATGAAAGTTATAAAAAACAACAAGGTGGCACTGATGTAAAGTATTGATCCTGGAGGCACAAAAACATGGTGTTTCTGATTCTGGGAGGGTTTTAAACGGATGTAAAGGATCAGGAAATCAAAACGCACAGTCTGCTCTGCTCTCTCTCTCTGAATGCAGTGGACATTAAGTGGACAAACTGCTCTCGAATCTGTCAGCAAATGTAAACGTGTACGCCGTTAAGCCACCCTCAGGACAAATAAAACCTGCAGTCCTGATATACGCTGCGGTTTGTGCTGCAGTTCTTTAAATGATCAACACYTTTAAAGGGGCTCGGCTTTGAACCGCCTCAAGTTTCATTTGGCCGCGCAACTAAAACCTGTAATAACTGTACAAAACATGACATTTCTTCTATAGTCGCAAATAAAAAGAAGATTTAGGATCACATCATTTTAAATAAAGTTACCGTTAAAAAGATGGGATGATTGTGGCTTGAATTACCTAATCCAAAATGAGAAAATCTGATTATTTGTCACAAAAGTCAAAACAAAAATCAATATTGATATAAAATAAAATAATGCATTTCGTTTTTCATCTACCCAACATACCTAAACTAATATTATAAGTTAATGAATAAACTGTGATTGTCAACATGTAAAAGTGAGAAAAACGAAGAGGAACATGGGTGAATTCATACTTTAAATTTGGATGTTTAAAATGATTTTGTGTCAAACAGGTTTAGCTCGTAAAACAAATTTACAAACCACAAACTGCTGTAGACCCAATGCACCAACACCTCATTTTATCTATTTTTTTATGTGTAAACACTGAAACACAAAAGGTTATCAGTTACAACAGGAAGTGTCCTCCGGCCTGCTGAACACAATATCATCCACTTTAATTATCAGAGACATTAAAACCTCCAGTTAGGTTTTAGTCCTGCAGGGAGGACTTCTCGACTGCTGAGGTTTGTGGGTCATTGTTTGCCTTCAGCACAATGCAAAATGCTGTGATGGYTAAAACTAACAGGATTTGTGGACTGAGGGTTGATGGGAAGAGTGGCTGCAGCTGTGACAAAGAAACCAGCAGGCTGACCGCGGGWGCAGAAAGTAAATGTGGGAAAAGTACCGGGAGAATAAACTGGTGGCACATGGAAACACAGAACAACACCACAAATAATGATAAACTTCATGTTAAAAACACAAAAGACCACAAACAAACAATAAGCATGATTTGTGCCAGGTGAAGTTTCACACAACATCACTAGTGAAGCAGAGTTGCAAATACTACAGGTCTTCAACAATGAGGTTGCAGTGGGTTGTAAATTTTGGGTATCTATTTATTTTATTCTTTTATTTCCCCAAAGTTGTTTTTAAACACATATAATTTGACATGAGGCGTAAAATCATGCATTTCAGTCAGAAATGCAAATTCAGTGAACAGTCATCGACTAATGACAGTATACACTGTTTTAGTGGTGCAGCGATACAGAAAATTCACGATTCGGTTTGATTCGATATAATCTCACGATTTGATATTTTTTTGATACAAAAGAAGAATTTCCATCACCTTCTTAACTCGTAATTTAACGGAATTAATTTATAAACATTTGTTTAATCTCAAACGTACAGTTTTAAAATTAAATGTTGCTGAAACAGCAAGTTTCTCAGTGGAGCTGCGTCCGACTATGCAGCCTGAGTGGAGCAGTCGAACACAGATCCACTGATCCTTCAGAGGAAAAACAATGAAGACCCCTGGCGTGCACCGTTAAATTACATCATGTTAAAGGTTTTTAAAAACCATCATGGTAGCCACATTTCTATTGCTGCCTAATTCATAACCCATTGAATCCTCATTTTTCTCCTTTGGTTAGGTTTAACCACCTCTGGGCAGAGGGCCGACCATTGGACCTTCTCAGGAAACTCATGGGGGTTTTTAGCTGCAAGAACCCATTCGCTTTGTGAAACTCCACCACAGGGAGGTTGCCTCCTCCTGAGATTACTCATGCACTTAAACTCTTCAACCACAATGGCATTTCAGGAACCTCTGGCTCTTAATCACAAGGGGAGGGGATGAAAAAAAAGAATGAAGTGTAAGATTTATAGGTGGATCGTTGCGGCATCTTCAGTGATGCAGGCACTGCACCGTGTCTGTCAGAGTGGAGCGAGGGCTGAGCCGAAAGGCAAAGCTCTCATTTTACTGGTCAATAAATCATCATAATGTCACAGGTTTTTATGAGCTGTGAGATTGCTGATACAAGCAGCCGAAATTAGCTTCCTCTGAAGGGTGTCTGGACTCAGCCTCACAAGGAGGCTGTGGAGAACAGTAAACCAGGAAAGGAGCTCAGATTAGAGCTGTTTTCTCCTCACAGAAAGGGGTCAGCAGAGGTGTTGGTCCYTCTGAACGCCTCTCAAGTGAAGGCTTTTAGTCCAGACTCCAGAGGCAGACTCAGGTCCCCCCCTAAAGCACCAGAGGTGGTCAGCTCTGCTTCCACAGCTGCCCTCAGGACCTCCACCCAGACAAATGAAAAGTGAGACGGATTGAAAAATGGATTGCCGCTTATATTTTAGAGCTCAGATTTCTGTGTGCGCCCCACGAGGATTTAAAGCTTAAAAATACATAGAGAATTTGGTTTCGGAATTGGCACAACGGAGGCATAAAAATGAAAGATGAACAATTTGTTTTATTTTGACCTCCTGCCTAATGCAGCTATAACCCCTGAGTGGCAAACTGAGCAGAGGACTTAATTGCTTTTTCACATCGCTGATACCCAACTGCTGCCTCTCGGACCGTGAAGTTTCTTGACCAAATGTCTCAATTAGGTTTTTTCCCCCTCAAGCTTCTAAAATTACAGCAGGCTGTGAGTAACAAAGGAGTGAACTCTGTTTTTATCCAACCAGTGTGAAGTTAGCCTCACCACAGCTCACATTAACATCATCTCCTTCTGCACGTCTATAAATGACAGAAACCCAAGGACTTCCTTCAGGAAGCTCTGCAGCAGTTTCAGGCAGATCAGTTCACTCAGCTGGAGATTTTCTAACATCCAGATGTGCTTTTTCTGAAAACTGAACTCACTGATGAGCCTGAACGATGTAATCACCCTCATATTAATTATACTGGATGTTTCTGTATGAACCAGTCAGAGAAACACAAACTTCTTTTTCATGAGAACTGGATTAAATTCAGATCCATCCATCCATCCATCCATCCATCCATCCATCCACCTGTCCCTTCATCTATCCATCATCCATACAACATTCATCCATCCATCCATCCATCCGCCTGTCCCTTCATCCATCCATCCATCCATCCATCCATCCATCCATCCCAACATTTATCCATCCGTCCATCCATCTGTCCCTTCATCCATCCATCCATCCATCCATCCATCCCAACATTCATCCATCCATCCATCCATCCACCCACCCATCCACCTGTCCCTTCATCTATCCATC